AAAAATGCATTGATCCATGTCACTTTAGTTTTGTGTATTTCACTGTACATAAATTATATTTTGATAAAATGCATTTTAAAAAAAAAAGAAAATTCATCTGGCACTGAGATTTTGAAAACTCTCTAGGTGATTCTAATATACAGCAAAGTTTAGGAAACACTACATAAATAGTAAAACATACTATATGGTCATAACAGTAGTCACTCTTCTGTTTAAACCTCAATAGTCCATGGTAAACATACCAAAAACTGATGACTTTTGAGACTACTGAACTAGGAGATAGCAATGTGTAACAACTTTATAAGAAAATCAAGTACTTTTTTTTCTCCTTGATATGACACATTGTTTTAATATACAGTCTTGGCAAGAACAGGTTGTCCTTGACTATGAATCTGGCCAATTGTTACAGCAGTCACCAAGGGACACACTGAATAAATACAACCAGTATATCCATACCCAGAACATCCGTATCAATTATAGAGTTTGAAAAAAAAAAACAGCAAGCACAGTCTAGACCAAACACAAATAAATTAAAAACAAACAAACAAAAAATCAAAGCTAACAAGTTAATGTCTTAGTTTTCTAGTGCTGCTGTAACAGAAATACTGTAAGTGGATGCTTTTAACAAACAGGAATTTATTCTTTTACAGCTTAAGAACCTAGAAGTCCAAATTCAGAGTGCTGGCTCTAGAGGCTGGTGAAGGCCCCTCAGTCTTCGGCTTCAATTCTGCCTCCTGTTCCAAGACCACTGGAACTGGAAGCTTCTCCTAATTCATGTAGCAGCTGGCTGCCGAGGCTGATGAACCCAACATCAGCAGGTAAAATGGCACAATCCTAAAATCAGCAGGCAACATGGTAGGCCACTGGTTCAAGTCTAAAATAATCCCAAAATCTGCAGGCAACACAGCAGACCACTGGTTCCAGTCCAGAGATGAAGACTCAGCCAAATTTAGGATCCAAAATGTGCCAAAAAGCTAGAGACCTTTCCCAAACCTTCTCCATATATAATGGAAGCAGGCTACACCCCAAAGGTAACACCCCTTCA